AGACTTGGAGGCGATCCGACAGGAGCTTGGAGGATGCCGTCAAGTCATATGGAGCATTATGCACCGTGCACTCAGGCGATAGCCCTATGAGGCTTTGCGAGTTTTCGAACCCGGATTACATGAGTTATCGTGTGATGAACCTTGTTTGTTGCATCTAAAGAAATTATTGGCTGCGCTACAACAAATTGGCATAAAAGATTTTACATGATTTAAAATGCAAGCATGATAATTTAAATCCGTTCATCGAGAAGTTATATCCCAGTTTGATATCATTGCTAAAGAAAATGAAAATCTAAAGAAAAGCAATGATATGTTAAAACTGGCAAAATGAAAAAATTAACGCTCATCAATTTCTAAGCTTATCTCCATGAGAAAGAAAAATGCCATGCTAACGAATAGAATGGCATTAAGAAATATAAATTCTTTTGAGAATAATAATAACCATGGCTCTACTTTCTATTATCAATGATGTTATGCAAATGATCGATTTGAATCATGTTAAGGAAGCGGCATATCATGCTACGATTCTAACTTTAAACACATGTATTGTAACCATAAGAAATTATGGACCATCGTGTGCTAAGTCTCCATGGCTAACAACATCTAAAGCATGCGCTATACATCATGCACACATGCTATAGCCAAAGTCTACAAATGCACAATTTGCGCGTCGTAAAGGCATCTTGCTAGATTTTGTATGATGCAGCACAAAAACATAAGAATATTAATCTTCTTTTGGGCATCTCATGCAAGTCTTCTTCATCACATGCACATGCGGCACATCGCACACGTTATAAAGTTTCATCAATAACAATCATGCTCATCGTGTCATTCATGCACAGTGATCTTTGTGGTGCGTATTTGGTTCATTTGGCCAAAATTGTTTTGATTTGAAAAATAAAATAAAATGCTCATTTGCCAAATATTTCTACGTAGACCACATGTTATGTCAAATGTAATGTTTGTGGTACTATGGTCACGCTAGGACAAGTTTTTGTTTTGATACATGCTTCATATTTCAAAAAGCTTCCAATAATCTATCCTTATTTGGGCCAAATGTTCCATGTGCGACCTTTTAACGGTCAACATAAGCAAAATGGTTCCTTCCATTGTACATATTGCAGATCGAATGGTCATTCTGAGTGATTATTGCTATGACCGACCCCGGTGCACCAATATGCCCAAGAGGGTTCAATACCTAGGGCTTTGAGCTTGCATTGATACGGGGTCATGTGCCGCTAAATCTTTTGCGTTCCAGAATAGCTTGGGTACAAAACAAATTTGATTTTTTAAAACCAAGTACTTAGTGCTTTTCCTTTTTCTTTTCTTGGTTTTGAAAAATTATATCTTTTTAAAATCTTTTAGTTGATGACAACCAATTTTTCTTGTACTCGAAAATCTTTTGTTTTCATGATTATTCTTTTGTTTGATGAGAGGAGCTATGTTTATATAACCCTCCGGATTTATTTGGTGTTATTCCAATCATCGTTTACCGGATGCTAGGAATGATTATATGGGTTGGAACAAGCTTAAGAGCTTGATACATTGTTGCCCTCTCTTAAAATTCTTTTGTCAAAGATTTGTTTGACTTGTTGGCTTTGAATTCATTATATTTCACTTATATGATGATACCTTTATATGATTTGTGCTCATGATCTCTATTTGTGCTTATAATCGTATTCTATGAGTTTTGATCAAGTTCTTGTAAAGAAAATTTTTTTTTTTGATCAAACATTGTTTTTGGACTCAATATCTTGTTTCATGCAATTTCATTGAGTGATGCTTGTCTTTCAACTTGAAAACTTTTTTCCATGTATTTGCTCATGTTTCGCTTTTCTCTTGCTTTCAATAAATCTATCTTTACACGATGGTTTTTATGGTCTTTGTTGAGACACTATTCTTTCATATTGATATATTCATCATGTGTTTTCATTATCTCGTTGAATGTGAAGTGATTGTCTAGCATATCTTTTATGCTTGCTCAGCATTTGCCATGATCTTTAATTGCATATTTCCATATGAGCAATTTGATAGGCGGGTAGCAACCTATCATCCTTTTTTATAACTCACCTATGTTATTCGATAGGGGAGCTTTCGCGTCTCTAATTTTTTTGTCGCGCTTTTTGAATGTTGTCAAAGGGGGAGCAAATATTGTTGAGTATATTCCTTTTTGTTTATATGCATGCTGAATTATATAAATTATATACTTCATTTGCTTATTCATCCGCATATACTTTTTTTGTAAATTGGTTTATCATGATCAAAAGGGGGAGATTGTTGGCGCTTCTTGTTTTGATAATGTTTACAAGGACATATTTCACTAATGTTGTTTGTCTAGTATTTGTGTTTCCTATGTAGTTGATAGACAAATAACGTAGTTGGAGGATGGTGGATTGCGCCATAACGATCCTATCGCAATGGAGGTTTGGACGGAATTATGGAGTGAAGCAACGTACAATTCAAGTTAAAGATCAAAGTTCAAGCTTCATCCGCAAGTGTATCCAAGTCAAGCTTATTGAAGATGCAAGATCGGCTGGGTGAATCTAGTTTAGGTTTTATATTATGCTGTGTTAAGTAGCCTAAGCTCAATATCATGACACAAACACGTATTTGATTTCTATGTAAAATATAATAGTTATATATATAGCATGTATGGTTCTTGGATTTTTATGTTTTGGACCACTTGCAAAATACATGGGTTTCACAAATAGAAATTCAATTTGAACGAAATAATTTTTCTAACATGTTTATTTCGCCTGTTTATAAACATTTCACAAATTTCATCAAGCTTTGGAGGATTGGATTTGTTATGTGTAATGGAATTCAAAAATCATGTTTTTCGTTCGTGCACCATGTTCGTGCATCGTTTGACAAGACAGATTGAGTTTTCATAAATGGGAAGTGGGTATTGTCAAGGAATCTCTTTTCTTTGATATGTTTATCTATATGTTTAGAAACTTTTCTTAAATTTATATTTTTAGAGTTTGATTTACTGTGCCAAGATTGCTTTTAGCAAAATGCGTGTATCAGCAGCAGATTTTTATTAAACTGTAATTTCTTTGTTCAGACATTTATTTCTCTCACTGGGAAATGATTTTGTCAGAAATTCTTATTTCTAAGCATGTTCTTTGATACATGTCCTATGAACATTCCCTCAAAATTTCAGCAATTTTTGCGGATTGATTGTACTATTTTGAACTTGATTTTACGCAAAACTGCGATATGCAGTGCTACAGTAATGGCGGTCGACGCGGGAGTGTCACCAGCGCGACCGGTGGAAAATGTGCCCAGAGAGCTTTTTTGTTGGGCTGTGAACAGTGCGGATCGACCGGGACGAGTACCCTGCGGTCGACCGGTCAGAGTACCGTTGGCACAGTAAGCTATGTCTGTTTTTTGTTTATTTTAATGTTTTGGGAAGTGTGTTTTCTTCAGGTTCTTCTGGTGTTTGCATGAGCCTAATATATACCCATGCCCTCAATACTTCTATGACTACTCAAGAATATTTTTATAACAAGTTTACAAGAGTTTTAAACTTGTTAGTATTATGTTTAAGTTTGGTGTTATGAAGCTTTAAGCATTCTGAGGTGTTTTGAGTTTGTGAAGTTCAATTTGCACAAGAGGCAACATGAGATCATCCTTTGCGTGTTTGGAACATTCACTCTTTCTGCCTCCCTCTCGCTTGTCATCTTTAGAGAGTGTTTCGTAATAACTCATCTAGCAATTTATTATGTTTGATTATAATTTCATAAGGCTAGATTTCATATTGAGTTAGGTTTTAATTGTTTTATTGATAGCTCTTTGTCACACACAACTCTGCTTGAGGCTTATTGTATTTTATACTTCATAGTATAATTTAGGGTTTGTGGGTTTGTGACATTGAGAAGTGAGCCTTAATTGAGTTCTCAACCGTTGTTTAGAGAAACAATCAATTGAGTTATAATTGTGCTTAATTGTCGAACGGGGGGAGGGGATCACTTGTGAATACACTTGTACACTCGAGAGAAGTGTTGGTAAGAGAGCGGGGTCGAATCCAAGAGGAGTGCGTCGGGTTAACTGGTGGCCTGAGGGAGATGGTTGTAAGCAGAGCACCGTTGAAGAGGAGAGCACGGGTTGAGGACCAACACCATTGGAGTGTGTGAGGTGTGATACCATGAGTCGATTGTATTATGAGGTGTAACGTTGTTTCGGGGTGAACGGTAGAAAACCCGTTGTATAGTGGAGATCTCCTGCGAGGTGAGGTAGCGAGACTAGGTCGGTTCGGGGACCGAACTGGCCGTAATGCATATTGTTTGTTGTGTGATTGGCTTGGCAACAGGCTTACTTTTATGTTTATATCTATATCCCTCGCTTGTATATTGCTTGTTGATTTATATTGCCCTCACTATCCGTAGTTTTAGATTGTTTAACCCTTGAAGCTTATAATGATCTTGCGACATACATTGCCTATATGCTCTTTGTATAGGCATATATCTTATTGTTCATATTACGTTATCCTAGCTGGCATGATGACATTGTGTGTATTTCATACTTGCTAGGATGAACTTATTTTAATGTAATTTTAATTGGGCATTTAAATCAGATTAGATTAGCAATAAGACCCTAATCATCCGCCGCTCTAGGGTCTAACAAGCTTTAAGGTAGGACAGTTGACGATCATGAGCCGCCAGCTCCTCGTTATACGAGCTCATGGCCCGACGATCGAGCTCCCACACACGTTGAAACGTGTGACAAGCCTGTGCATGACCGACCCGTTGGTCCTAGGAGTGTTGGTGCCCCGAAGAGGAAGAAGACCGCACATAAGCCCTACGACGGTCAGCGTCCTTATGGAGTGGACTTAGGAAGCACTGCCGATGGAGGGGAAGGTAACATTTTATTTTTATTGCTTTAAGGTGATTTTCCTTTTGGGATTCGTAACCATGTTTTATGCTCCAGGGTTCTTCGAAGAGGGCGAACTTCCACCGGGTCCGGTATCTCCTGGATCTGATAACATGGATTACTTCATGCAGCAGATGTGCGACGCCCTTCATGACGGTTCTCTGGGCATCGATCTAAACATTGATCTTGAGCAGGTGAATAGTGTTGAGCCCACCGTCCCATATTCAGGTATATCTACATCCAATGATACCCTCCTCAAGCATGGGGACAGAGAATCTTCTGTTTTTGCTGCAGGTATTTCTGAGCTTTCCTTTCTTCCTCATCTTCCAACATTTAGGTTATCCTGCAGATGTCGCGATGGAAAAGCCAGTTGAGGATGGAGCCTATCATGATGTAGGTTTCGAGGAACGGGGGTGTGCTCCTGTACCAAGTTTCTCGAAACCCGATGCTGGATTATTAACCGACATGCTGGCTGAACAGACTGCCAGAGGAACCGTGAGACCATACTTTGGGACTGATTCAGTAGCGGTTCCCGGCGCATCTGGTTCACCTCGAAATGACGGACTCACCGGTAGGCAGATGATCTTGGATGTCACGCTACTTTTCATTTTATTTTATTTTTCTAATGGATGAGTGTAATCATAGGACCAGCCACTTGGGCCGATACCCTTATGACTCTTGGCATTCCCGCTGCATCTGAGGACGGTGGGATTGCAGGTATGCATACGATCTTTTTGTCCCGATTCTCCTTATTTGTCCAAATTTCCATTTGACTAATACAGGAGTGTAACTATAGGACCGGCCGTTGTGCCTGATACTACTACAGTTCCCGGGGCTGAAAGTCTGCATAGAAGTGGTGTCTCCCCGCCCTTGCCGAGTGGTATGAGCAATCTGCCTGCAGGGGTCGATATACCCTCCATGACCACTTCTGCCGCTATCTCAGAGCCTGTCGGACCTCAGCCTGAGGGTACCTCCGTTGGCGTTGGTATGTTCGGAATTTTGCCTTTGAATTCCCTTATCGTATTCGATAATCCACTGAACTTCTATGTTGTTGCTTGTAGGTTGCTTGTAGGCTCTAGATCTTCTCTACATGAGCGTGTTCGCGCCCTTTTGGTCGATACTGATCCCGACAGAGACATTTTTCGTACGGACCTCGGCTTCTTCACTGCCTTTTATAACGGCATGATCGAGAAGCTTCTTCATAGAGGATACTGTCTCGATCAGTTCAGGCGTTCCTTTTCTCGCCACATGATGATGATGAGGGAAGAAGGATACCCGGAATTGGCCGATTCCTTCACTGCCGATTTCGCTATCCTGGAGTCGGAGATCCGAGAGTTGAAGGAATTGGAGACTAACGGGGCTTCCTCTTTCGTGTCCTCTCAGCTGGAGCATAGGCTGGCACAGTGGCGCGACCTGAGATCTTCTATCGGATGCGAGCTTCAGTCACACGAGAGCTCTATTGCGCAGCTAATGGCTACCGTAGCGAGGAAAGATACGGATAGGGCTGAGTTACTCCGCTCTTTGGACTCGAGCCGCGAGGAAGTGACTAGGTTGAAAGAGGCCTTGAAGCGCGCCGAGGAATCCGCTGCTCTTATTGCAGATGATCTGGCTGGATTAGAGTGTTCTCGTGAACAGGCACTCGAGAGGCTAGGATCCACCCAGGAGAGACTGATGAAGCTAAAGAGTGAAGCCGGGGAGATTTTGAGCAGTTTTGAAGAATCTGCTCGAGCTGATATGCAGGCAGAACTCGAGCGGAGTTATGTAGATAGACTCTTTAGTTTAAAGTCTCATATCCTCGACCGCCAACTGCCTTCGGGCTAACGAGCTTTTTATTGTATGCTTTTGACTCGGTCTATTAATAAAAACTCCGCATTTGCTCTTTTTTTTCGTGATCTTTCTGTGTTTATTCAAGATTTGTGGGATTTTTGGCAAACCCCCAGCCATCAACGGGTTTGATATGTCTTTACCGATTACCGTTTGAAATCGGACTAGCATGTGAATTATTAAACCCGTCTCACATGTAACGTTGTGCTAAGAGAATCGCTTTTCTTAGACTTAATGCTATGACTTTGAATACATAGACTTCACCATTTCTTATAGGGAAAAGGTACCCCGCACCGCGTATTAGGCGATGACTTATCCCTTCTTAGGCTTCGGGATAAAATTCCCCAAGTTTAGACCTTGGTGTCTTTTGCAATCGGCGAAAGACTAAACCGGCAATGTGTGTTAGACATAGACTTTGGGATTTTTGGCAAACCCCCAGCCCTCAACGGGTTTGACGTGCCTTTACCGATCACCGTTTGAATCGGGCTAGCATGCGGATTGTCTAAATCCGTTCCGCATGTAACGTTGTGCTAAGAGAGTGAATTCTCTAAGACTTTGTGCTATGACTTTGAATACATAGACTTCGCCCTTGTTACGGGAATAGGCTACCCGGCAACACGTATTAGACGTTGACTTTATCCCTACTTAGGCTTCGGGATAAAATACCCCAGAATCGAACTCTGGTGTCTTCTTCCACGGAGAAAGACTAAACCGGCGACGGTTGCGATGCCGTTGGCTCCCACTGTGGTCGCCAGTCTGTTTGCGGAAAAAGTTGCTGTATTCATTGCTGCATTCATTACAACTTCAATCGTTACAATGAAATAAAAAGATAGCCTTTTTATAAGACCGGTACACAATGAAAACAAAATAGATACAACTCTTTTCAAACAAACGCAAGATCTGTTCATCATCTCTTGCTTGCGTGGGTCTTTTGCCTGTGACGGGGATGTTGATATCCGTGGACCACCGGGGCACTCAGATCTGGTCCGAGAAAATCGGGCAGAGTTTCGTCTATCCGCGGGGGGATTTTAGAAACTCTGAACTTCGTCGATCTGCGTGAGATCTTAGAAGTTTATAGCTCCTATCTCGGGTAATCGAGATATTCGCTCTACTTAGTATCACCGCTAAGGGGCAACACTAAGGAAAATAGAAAGGGGAATGAAGAAGGAGGCTCCTTTGCTGCAGAAGGCTCGCTCACTCCTCGATCCGGCAGGGCTTCGCCGCTCTCTTAGAAAACCCCGACTCCTTCCTCCGGCAGGGCTTCGCCGCTCCTCTCTGGAATTTCAGATCTCAAAGGCTAGAGCTCTAGATCTGAAATTCCTCTCCCAAAACCAAGGCCTAGAGAAATGAGGCCCTAGGGGCCTATTTATAGGAAAAGCAAGGGGTGGGGGCTGGTTGAGGACACCCCTAGGGGGGTGTCTCGGCTCCAAAACCGAGACACCCCTTGGGGGTGTCTCGGCCATGGCCGAGACACCCCAAGGGGTGTCTCGGTTTTGGAGCCGAGACACCCCCCCTAGGGGTGTCCTCAACCAACCCCTACCCCTTGCTTTTCCTATAAATAGGCCCCTAGGGCCTCCATTCTCTTGGCCTTGGTTTTGGGAGAGGAATTTCAGATCTAGAGCTCTAGCCTTTGAGATCTGAAATTCCAGAGAGGAGCGGCGAAGCCCTGCCGGAGGAAGGAGTCGGGGTTTTCTAAGAGAGCGGCGAAGCCCTGCCGGATCGAGGAGTGAGCGAGCCTTCTGCAGCAAAGGAGTCTTCTTCTTCATTCCCCACCTTCTTTTCCCTTAGTGTTGCCCTTAGCGGTGATACAAAGGAGAGCTAGTGCCTCGTTTTAGCCGAGACATAAGCTTTACACCTCTGAGATCCCACGCGGATCGACGGGGTTCAGAGTTTCTAAAATCCCCCCGCGGATAGACGAAACTCTGCCCGATTTTCTCGGACCAGATCTGAGTGCCCCGGTGGTCCACGGATATCAACATCCCCGTCACAGGCAAAAGACCCACGCAAGCAAGAGATGACAAACAGATCTTGCGTTTGTTTGAAAAGAGTTGTATTTCTTTTGTTTTCATTGTGTACCGGTCTTATAAAAAGGCTATCTTTTTATTTCATTGTAACGATTGAAGTTGTAATGAATGCAGCAATGAATACAGCAACTTTTTCCGCAAACAAGCTGGCGACCACAGTGGGAGCCAACGGCATCGCAACCGACGCCGTCGTGACGCAACCAGCACTCAAGATCGGGGTGAATGAAGAACACGAGCTCGATCAACAACGGTTCAAAGAAGGCCTCTCTTCCTCCTCCTCCAGATCCGCCTCTCCAAACGGGTACAGAAAGGTAACCTCTTTCATAAATGATTGCAGGTCCTTCGGTTCAAAAATCCAAGACCCCGTTGCCGCCTCTGCACTTGCACCACGCGACGTCCCCACGTCGTCCAACCTGGTCGAGATCGCAGATCCGGATTCCTCTTCCGCCGAGGAGATGACTTCTGAAGACGCTCCGGCATTATCAAAGAGAGCACGACAAAGACAGCGTCAACGTCTTGCTCGACAGCTGGCCGAGGCTTTGGAGCCAATGGATGGGATCCGCTATAACGTGGATTTAAAATCCAGGCAACGCCGGGAGCAACAATGGCAAACAACCAGCCCCTCCTCCGAAGCAGAAACAAATAAATGGGTTCATGTCAAAAGAACCCGTTCTACTCTCGAGGAGCGAATCCAGAAGCGCCGCGCCTTGCGTGCGCATGCCCGAGCCCTGGTGCAAAAAACACGAGAAATGCAAAAGGAAGAGGCAGTTAAGAGATCGCCGAGATCCAAACGAGTTTGGGTGCCAAAGGCCTAATCGACGCCTAAGGCAAAAGCAGGCGACGTTGCTCTCCGGCCTTCGTCAACTTTAGATCCCGAACCTCCGATGAATCCCCACCGCAGCGGAGATGTCACCAAGCTTAGGATTCCTCTGGCGGATCGTATCGGTACTCTACCCGAGAATCGAGGAAAAGCGCTTGATAAGGAGAGCTGGAGATCATCGAACGAGCTGCAAGCCAACACCCGGACTGGGGGTCGTACGCGACCCCCTAACAAGCGGATTCCTGCAACGGCCAGCTTGGCAGTGCGTGCAAAAGACCAAGAGCCCATTAAGGTTTCACCCTCACAAAGGTGTGATTCCAAACGTGCGACTCTTGCAGGGGCCAACAAGGCAATGTTTACTCAGAAGAAAACGTGTCGGACAGACGAACGCGTTATACCTGAGAACCCATGTGAGCAGCCGATAGGTTACTCTGACTGCAATCTCGAAAGAGAAACACCCGGGAAGCGGATTCTCACTGTCCGTGTACCAAATTTATCAGGGCAGTATTATCAACATGTAGCTGCCCCAAGACCGCTCCGCAGAGGGTCTCGATATTCGAGGGAATTTCTGATGGAATGACGAAGCCCAAATCAAGGCGTTCCCACCAAAGAGGATCGGTTGCTCGAGATGATGAACTCCCAGAAATTACCATCAACATGGCCAACAAGGGAAAATCCCCAATCATTTCAAGTGGTTCCGACCCTAATTTTTCTCTAGGAGGCAGGGTCAATTCGGGAATAGCTCAGCTTCAGCTAGAAGCCGTCGGATATAACAATGACCATGGGGTCCATGAAGGAGTCCATTCCGATGATGAGTTCTCAGATTCTCATTCCGCGCTCGCCTCCGACGATACAACGTCTAGCATAGGGCAAGCTCGAGAGGTGTTCATGGTCAACACCGAGCAGATAGCCAAAATCATTGAAGAGGCCCTGGCTAAGCAGAAGGAAATCTTCAAGTTCGAAATGGAAATGGCTATGCAAGAGATGAGACAAATGCACGGCCAACA